TTTCCCGAATTAGGATGTAAATGTGTACTTTTTCTGAATCTTTTCAGTAAAACCCATACTAAAGTACAACACAATGTCACCTTATAGTGATAAAATGTTACTTTTCATATCAAAGAGATTTCGCAGAAGGCCTTGAATGACAGTATATACATCTCGCAAAATTTATACAGATCCTGATTTAAGATTTGACTTTTTTTTAAGTGCCATGCAACCAACAAGCATTTGTAACAAATTATATGACAGATGAGGTGGAGAGAAGTTACATACACAATAGCAGAAACAGCACGACAGCATCGCTCCCACATACTCCGAAATCTGGGTTGACCACCAAGATCCCACCACTTTATTGTCACATTTCCTTTAGTCACTTTCCGCATATTAAATCCTACCTGAAAAACAATTCAATATCATCATATCATGACAGTCATGAAAGTAAGCAATGATCAGCGTATCAAAGTTGACTTGGGCATTTTAAGGAGACAACTAACCGTAGGGACAAGGAGGTAGTCAGGATTTCAATCTTGGGGGGCGAAAATATGGGGGGTGGAGGGGGGAAGGCCCCGCTCCCGAAGTCGGCCCCCGAAATTTTTTTTTAATTGAAAGGATTGAAAACGACGATTTTGAGTACCAAAATAGGCAAGTTAGATTGACTGACCAAAAAAACAATCAATTTGTCGATACAAAAACAATATGTTCATCTATGTGTTTAACACTATACAAATTGAAAACATGAACGTTAGATGGACATAAAAAAAGATAAAAAGTAAACTGCCTATCTATATAACAGATTGTAGAGATGGCTTGGACATCTGAAATTGGTCTCTCCTTGTCCTCATCACTTCAAACTCGTCAATAAGAGAATCTAATGGAAAAGTATCAACAATCTCCTTCTCTATATACACAAGCATGGTACTTGACAAAAAATCATCTTCCATTCTATTATGCAACCTTGTCTTAATGACACTCATAGATGAAAATGCACATTCTGTAGTTTCTGTTGAAACTGGAAGAGTAAAGACAAGATGAATCAATCTATCAACAAGATTATAACTCATTGATTTTCTTGTCAATGCCAACAGTTGGCACACATCTATTGGATCTAGGTTATTTATTTATTTAAATAACTATTGGATCTTTTGTTTAGGTTTAAGATTTTTGTATGGTGGAAGTTTAAAGTGTAAGTTATTTGGTCAATATTTATTAATGGAAAAAAAATTTCAAAATTTTGCAGGTGCGAGTCAAAAAAAATTTTTTTGAGGGGAAGGGGGAAGCTGAAAAATACATTACAAATTAATTAGGAATAGTGAACCAGGGGACAATGTTGGGGGGGAGGGTTGTCCCTATCTCCATCTCTGCGTAGGGATCATGTCTTCACTATATCCACCAGTCTGGGAAGTAGAGCAAGAAATGATACACTCAATGCTTTGACCAATCACTAATAAAAATAAGTAGATAGCTCTGTAGATATGCATGACAAGATGACTAGTATCTTTTTACTCACAACGATAACATTTACAAGTGAAGTTTTTCCAGCATTTTGAAGACCTATCAAGGAAAGCTCCATTTCCTGCTTGAAAAAGAAGCTGTAACCTATTAAAGTTCACACTACAACCATCAACCTAACCAATTCTCAGTGGAATGCACAACACGGTTTATTACTCTCAACATGAGTGACTGTTCTTAAATGGAATATAATTAGTTTTGCCAGCTAGCTAAAAGATGGTATGGATATGAATATTCTTTCTATATGTAATTACTCATATAGATTCTCTTTGTATATAAGGCAAGCGATAGGAGGTAATTAATTGTAACTTGAACAGCAAATTCTAAATATACAAATTTCGTTTTCTTTCTTGGTGTCAGAGCTGAAAAATGGCCAACGCCAATACCAGTGATCAGTCCTCTCCAAGCACAGTAACGGCTGTTCAATCTGGTGTCATTCAAGTTTCACCATTTGGGAATCTCACCTAAACACCGGCAGTAAAGCTTGACAAGAATAACTTTTTGTTGTGGAAGAATATGATTATGCCAATAATCAGAGGACATAATCTTGAGGGCTATCTGGTTGGAACAAAGGAATGTCCACACGAATTCATAGCTACTCAAACAACCGTTAATGGAGGAGAAGCTGTAGAAATGACTCAGAACCCTGAGTACAGCAAGTGGATCTCTCCTGATCAGCTACTTATGGGCTAGCTTTACTCATCCATGACGCCGGAGATAGCAATGAGAGTTATGGGATGTACCAGCTCAAACACACTATGGATTGCAGTTGAAGAAAGCTATGGAATACTTAACAAATCAAGAATCGTTTTCCATACTGGAGAGCTGCAGAGAACTAGAAAAGGACCAATGATTATGGACCAATATCTGTTCACTATCAAGCAGCTGGCAGACAATCTTCAGGTAGCTGGAAAACCAGTAGAGCATGGAGATCTTGTCACTCAGGTACTATCAGCTCTTGATGAAGAATATACTCCCATTGTTGTTCAGATAAACAACATGGAGAACATATCTTGGGATGAACTTTCATCTGTTCTAATGACCTTCGAAAGTAGGCTTGAATACCTCAATCAGATCAGGGGTAACTTTGCTTCCCTCAATATTGCACAATCAAGTGTGCAATTGGCTCAAAGAACAAATCCAGGAAGTGGCAGATTCTCAAGAGGAACCAACAGTGGTAGGTTCATGAACTTCAGAGGAAGGGCTAGAGGTAGAGGCGGAGCAGGAAGGCCTAGTGAAAGCAAGGGGCCTTACCAAATCTCTGGGATGAAAAATCACATAGCCAACTGGTGTTTTAATAGATATAATGATAGGTTTATGGGAAGCAAACCTACTAACTAAAACCAGCAAAATTTCAATTCAACTCCTGCAGCTTATATGGCTGCACCAAAGGGCTTTGAAGAGTCATCATGGTTTGTAAACACTGGTGCCAGTAACCATGTCACACCAGATAAAGGTAACCTGACCAATGCTTGAAGATTTGAAGATAAGGAGAAATTATTTGTTGGTAATGGAAAATGTGTACAAATCTCTCACATTGGAAAATGAGTTATTTCCTCTTCGAATGGCAGAAACCTTGCATTGAATAAATTACTTTATGTTCTAGAAATAAAAAAGAATCTGATAAGTGTCTCTCAGTTTACAAGTGATAATAACCTATTCATGGAATTTTATTCAAACTATTGCCTTGTAAAGGATCTGGAAACCAAGAAGACGCTGCTGCAGGGAGTACTTAAAGAAGGGCTATATCAACTGATGCTGTCACGTTCTGGTTCAAAGTTTTCAACCAAAGAGTTAGCCAATCAAAATAATTCCAACTGCCTTACTGTGAGTTAGCAAAATCTGTCAAGCCATTAGATTCTGAGATTGAAGCTTGGCATAGGAGACTAGGCCATCCTTCAAATCGTCTCTTAAGTCAAGTCCTGAAGTCGTGTAATAAACATAGCAAAGTTAATGAAAATTCAACTTCCTGTGAATCCTGTCAAATGGGAAAATCTCATACATTACCATTTAAAATATCTTCATCACATGCTTCAAATCCATTGGAGCTAATCCATACAGACGTCTGGGGACCTTCACCACTGAAATCCACATCAAGTTTTAGGTTCTATATTATCTTTGTAGATGACCATAGCAGGTTCACATGGATCTACCCTATGAAACAGAAATCTGAAGCCTTAAACTCCTTCATTCAGTTTAAGAATCTGGTAGAAAACAAGTTTGAAAAAAGGATCGGAGCCTTTCAATCTGACTGGGGAGGAGAGTTCAGAAATTTCAACCAAATTGTCTCTCTATCTGGGATTGAACTTAGGCACTCATGTCCCTATACATCTGTACAGAATGGCAGGGCAGAGAGGAAGCATAGGCATATCATTGAGACTGGTTTAACTCTTTTAGCACAAGCACAAATGCCCTTATTATACTGGTGGGAATCATTCAAATAAGCAACCTTTCTCATTAATAGGCTGCCTACCCCTGTACTCAACCATAAATCACCTTATCAAGTCCTTTATGGAAGGGATTTTGACTACAAATCTCTCAAAACTTTCGGGTGTACGTGCTACCCTTATCTCAGACCTTATCAAAAGCAAAAATTTAGTTTTTATTCACAAAGAAATGTGTTCTTTGTGATACCACTAAGAGTGTTTCCAAAATTCACGGATTCAGGTAGTGGTAGAGTTTATGTCTCCAGGCATGTTGTTTTCAACGAATCTAACTTTCCTTTCAAGTCTGGTTTTCTAAACAAAAATTCTCAGCTGCAAAACACTCTAACAACTGTCAGTTTCCTCCCATAAAAAAATGAATTCAATAATGAAACAGGACATTCAAACACAACTGATGTAGCTCACCTTGATGCACCACCTGCAACAACCTCATCCAATGGAGAACTAGCTCCTCAGACTGAAACTGAGACACTAGATAATTTTGACAATGAAGTTTTGCCTCAAGGTGACTATCTTGATTAAGAGAGTTCTGATCAACAAACTTCTGATCACAACCAAGAGGAGTTTGAAGTCTTAGACATAGGAAATGAGGTTAATGCTGAAGATCAAAGTACAACAAGAATTGAAGGCCATCACATGATCACTAGAAGCAAGGCGGGAATTTTTAAGCCTCAAGTATATACAAATCAGATGCAAACAGATACTGAGCCACTGACAGTCACAGAAGCACTGCAAAATGAAAATTGGAAGAGTGCAATGTAAGATAAATACAAAGCCTTAATGAAGAATCAAACATGGAAACTTGTATCCCCTGAACCTGGAATGAAGGTTATTGGAACAAATGGGTGTTCAGGCTCAAGCATGACTCAGAAGGAAGAGTTGAAAGACACAAGGCGAGACTAGTAGCAAAAGGTTTTCTTCAAACACAAGGAGTTGATTACGGTGAGACTTTCAGTCCATTTATCAAAGCATCAACCTTGAAAATTATCCTAACCTTTGCTGTCTCAAAAGATTGGAATATCAAGCAAGTAGATGTGAATAATGCCTTTTTGAATGGAGGCCTAAATGAAACTGTATATATGCATCAGCCACAGGAATTCATTGATAAAGAAAATCCTCATCTCGTGTGCAAACTAGAGAAGACATTATATGGGTTAAAACAAGCTCCAAGAGCTTGGCATGAAATGTTGAAAAGTACTCTGCTGAAGTGGAATTTCAAACAATCCAAAGCTGATAATTCTTTATTCTTCTTAACTGGTGGTGGAAGCATATTATTCATCCTTATCTATGCAGATGATATAATTGTAACAGGAAGCAATGGTGAAAAGTTGCAAGAGATTATTAACAACTTGAATACAAGTTTTGCTCTCAAGGATATGGAAAATCTCAAAATATTTCTAAGAATGGAAGTTCATAGAGACTCAGCTGGGCTATACTTAAATCAAACAAGGTATGCCATCAGCCTGCTGGAGAGGTTCGATTATGAGAACCTCAAACCAAGCATAACGCCCATGGCAACAGGAAAGCTAATATAAAAAACTGATGGTCAGATAATGAAGGATCCAACCCTCTATAGGATTGCCATTGGTGGTCTCCAATACTTAACGCATACAGGACCAGATGTTACTTATTTAGTAAATCGATTAAGTCAATTTCTCCAAACACAAACTGATACTTATTGGAAATCATTGAAAAGGATATTCAGATATATCAAAGAAACACTCAACTATGGCTTGGCAATCTACAAGAATGACAACCTCAACATAACTTCATTTATAGACTTTGATTGGGCGTCTTGCCCAGATGACGAAGGTTCACCGCAGGGTATTATGTGTACCTTGGAGATAGCTTAGTCTCTTGGTGCTCCAAGAATGACAACCTCAACATAACTTCATTTATAGACTCTGATTGGGCGTCTTGCCCAGATGGCAGAAGGTCCACCGCAGGGTATTATGTGTACCTTGGAGATAGCTTAGTCTCTTGGTGCTCCAAGAAACAACAAGTAGTAGCGCGTTCCAGCACTGAAGCAGAATATAGAGCACTAGCCCATAGTGCTTCTGAGATTACTTGGATTCAGTCCTTGTTAACTGAATTGAAGTTACCACATATAGCAATTCCCAAAATATGGTGCGATAACCTAAGTGCAAGTGCACTAGCTTCAAATCCGGTATACCATGCACGAACAAAACACATTGAACTCGACGTTCACTTTGTAAGAGACAAAGTTGATTGTCCCCTTAACCTTTAATCGAATGTACCCTCATCTGATTAGATTGCTGACTTGTTAACCAAACCACTGGCTTACTCTAGGTTTATATTCCTACGAGACAAGCTTGGAGTGTTGGAGATACACTCCACCTTGAGAGGGGGTGTTAAAGTTCACACTACAGACAAACCATCAGCCTAACCAATTCTCAGTGGAATGCACAATACCGTTGATTACTCTCAGCATGAGTGACTGTCCTTGAATGGAATATAATTAGTTTTGCCAACTGGCTATTAGTTGTTATGGATATTAGAATATTCTCTCTATATGTAATTGCTTATATAGATTCTCTTTGTATATAAGGCAAGCGATAGGAGGTAATTAATTGTAACTTGAATAGCAAATTCCAAA